ATTTTGAAATGAAAGCATCCCACCCCCCTGTTCATATTTTCAATATGGATAACTTGCAGAAGAGTAGGCTACTTTATGACCAGTGCCTAATGTGTTTGTATTACGACAAATCCCCTAACCATCCCTTTGTATGGTGCCTAAATTTGGTATTGAAAAGAGAGAATGGTTTACTAGAATGGAGTAAAGATCTCATGGGAAAAGTGTGAGGAAAAAGATCGAGGCAAGTTAAGAAAGGTTCGAGGCATGCATTAGGTGGAAGGTTGGCATGGGGAATAGAGTCAGATTTTTGGAGGATCAATGGATGGAAGGAGGTAGTCTCAAGGATCAGTATCCTCATATTTTTGCCATAGCTCAACAGAAAGGTGCAAAATCTGTGATTCTTTCCTGGAAGTGGGAGGGGGAGAGAAGGAATGACAAGTTTTTGCTTCGAGAAATTTGAACGATTAGGAGATAGGCGGATATGAGAAGTTGTTAAATACTCTTTCTCTTGTGACTTTGAACGGTAGCAATGATAGCCCTCAGTGGAGTCTTACTAAGAACCGGTCCTTCATGGTCAAGTCTTTCTATAAGCAACTATTTAAACACGATAGCAATAGTGTTAGATTCTCAGACAGATAAATTTGGAAGGTAAGAGTTTCTCCCCATGTATCATTTTTTGTGAGGAAGGCTAGCAGCGAATGTATTTTAACAATTGACAAGCTGAGGAGATGGGGCAAGATTTTAGTGAATGTTTGTTATCTTTGCAAGAAGGCAGAGGAGAATTGCCATATATTACTCTGGCATCCAGTGGTGTATAAGCTTTGGACTATGGTTTACCTGCAGTTAGGCATCAGTTGGATGATGACAAGATTTGTAAGAGATGAGATTTGGGCATGGAGGGGCATCAGGGGATGGAGGAAACAAGCCAACTTAATACTGGTTACCATATATTGAGTAGTGCAGAAGAAGATGAACAAAAAGGCTTTTGATGGGGGATGACGTGAATTGGTTTGATTTGCTCAAGAACATATGGTTTCAAATCCTTAATTTTTTGTTATTGGGTCATTCTCAACAGTCGATAAAAGGATTTAAGGGACCTTATTGACAAGTTGATAGACATGTAAATTTTGTTATATATGGGTTGACACCTCCTTGGTGTCCATATTAATACTAAACTTAACATTTTTTATTTCAGAAAAAATGGTGTTCAGAGGGAAGAAGTCTATGGGATTTGGCTCATAGTTTATTAGGCATCAAGTGGGTGACAAAGTGGATACAATTTAGGGAGAGTTGTTTGTATGGGTTGGTATTCCCGAACAGAAGAACGAAATAAAAGTGTTGTCTATTCATTGGTACCAAAGGGGTACCACCCATTTGCATAACAGTTTAGTAGGATAATTATTATCAGCTCCTATAAAATCCCAGCTATCAAAAGCTTTTCTTTTTATCCTCTATTCCTCATGCTATTTTCTCAAATATTTGGAGATTAAGGAACAGGTGAATCAGTATTTCCTAATTTTGCTAGCTTTAGAGATTATCAATTCCATACCTTCAAGTATTTTGTTTAAATGTCACTATGTCCTCTATAAAGATCTTAGAAAACTTAAAATATTTTGTCTGGTTCTCTTGCAATCTATGTTTGTGCATAAGTACCCCCCAGTGCCCTTGTCAATATTGCTTTCTTTTTCTCTAAATTTTTGGGTATGAAATGGTAATTTTATCTTAACTAAATCAAAAGCAAGACAAATTATTGTCTCTTAATTTTGTGGATAACATTGGGAAAAAAATTGTAAATTTTCCATTTTGGCATATTGGAAAACCTTGTTTATGAAATTTGAGTTTTAAAAAATCTACTAATTTAAAATTATTTTTAGCTTTTAAATTACCTGGAAAACACTGCAAGTATTATGTAAACACACCCTAAGTTTCCTCAATTTATTTTAAAGAAACTTTTTAAAATTGCGAGATGACTTTATAAATACCTCAATAAATCCATCAACAGAACAGGAGACAAGAAACTGCCCATCTGGCGAGAACCTAGCACATTCAGCATGGCTCTTTGTACCAAACTGTAGCAGAACAACATCAGACAGAAGATGCTCAATTTTGGAGTCAAAATAATAACACAACTATCAGAAAAAGGTACAAAGCAAAACCTGGATAAAAAGCAAAATGAGTTAAAAAGCAATATGCCGTAAGGACAAGTTTCCTTTTAGGTGGAAAGCTGCTCCACCGAAGGAAAATAATCCAAGGGATGTCGCAATTCACCTTAATGGTGTGTCCAAGAGTTGTCGGGTATGTGTCATCTACATCTTGTTTCATAGCAGCTGTTCCTCGAAATAGATCAAACTGTGTTCCTGGAGGAAGCAAACCTGAAAGACACACACTGGAATTTTCAAAGCTAGATAAGGAAAAACAGAGAAGCTTAATCAATAAGAAGAAATCACTAAAATGAGTACTTACACCTATATGTGCAGATGCATATCATTACTGATATAGTTGCCACATATGCGTATTATATTATTACTCGATATAACTGCTGGTGGATGTAATAAAATGTAAAAACCAATATTTTCTAAAAACATGAACTCGTCTACATTGTCATCCAACACATTAAAACATAGAAAATGAAGCATATTATGGAACATTAGAGAGAGATGAAGCTTTTCCAATTAACTCAATAAAAGTCCTGGACCTCTATATTGTCACCCAACAAATTAAAACATAGAAAATGAAGCATATTATAGAACATTAGAGAGAGATGAAGCTTTTCCAACAAACTCAATAAAAGTCCTGGACCAAATATTCATATTGACTGTACAATATAATTGTAAATGATAACCTTGGTGTTGCTGCCACTTTAGAGCCTGACCAATTAGAGCCATTAATCGCGAAGGTGGAACAACAGTAACTTCAGCAGCGAGAGCTGAACAAAGAAAATCTTCTTAAGTATACATGTTGATGTTAAAAGTGATGAAGGTTCATTGCAATGCACATTTTACATTAAAACTAAGCATTGTAAGCCCTTAAATTTCCCCCATTTCCCATTTTCTACAGCAAGGACCAAATGAATGCCTG